GTTTCACTTCCTTTGATTATCGGGTTTTATGGTAGCCTCCACATTCCATGCCACTTTGGAGTTCTTTGATCGTCAGATTTTATTGTACTTTCTGCATAAATTTCTGGCCATTTTATGGCCGTTCAGGGGTGCCTTTGCAGTCAGTACAGTGTAGCCCCCGAAGTATTTGGATGTGGTTTTGAGCTGCACTTTTTCCTCCCAGTTGAGAAAATGTGGAGCAAATGCTAGATGCAGAATCAGCCCATCTTTTCTCTGATACTCCCTGGTTATTGCTAACCAGTGCTATGTTGTAGTGGATTACTGATACTTGTGGAGGAAGGATATAAACCACTGAAGTTCAGTTCCCTTACCTGCTGATCTCTTAATCCCTTCAATGGCCACCTCAATGGGGGGGGCTTTCTGGAAGAGGGGGGATGTGGGCTCCAAGACTGCATGTCCTCAAAGCCCAGATTATTCAAGAAACATCCAGGGATCAAGGAGAAAGTTCCCCAAATAATAGGGAACTAATGGGTAAAAAGATCCCGTGCTATCCCATGTGATGGCTCCTCATGGTAGCTGCTTGCCAATATGGTGTCTCCACTCTTCCACTGCAAGATTGGCAGAAGAAGAAGAAGAGATTGAATTTACACCCCACCCTTCACTACCCGAAGGGGCCTCAGAGCAGCTCACAATCCCCATCCCTTCCCCTCCCCACTACAAACACCCTGTGAGGTAGGTGGGGCTGAGTGAGCTCTCTCAAGGACTGCTCATGAGAGAACAGCTCTGAAAGAACTTGTAAATGAACCAAGGTCACACCAGCAGCTGCCTATGGAGGAGTGGGGAATCAAACCCGGTTCTCCCAGATTGGAGTCCGCGCCCCTAACCACTACACCAAGCAGCCACCGCTGGAGGAACAAGTAAGCTGCAAGCATCCCTTAGGTGCCAGGGATGGAACTAAATGTGACTCCTTTTGGTTGGTGGTAATTGCAGCTTTCTGTGAGCTGCCAACCACTACACCAGGGGTGGCCAAACTTGCTTAACATAAGAGCCACACAGAATAAACATCAGATGCTTGAGAGCTGCAAGATATGAACACATATTACACACACATTTCCCCCCAAAAAACTATGCAAATTTGCTTTTTATTAACATTAAATGAGACTGCCAAAATAAAAGGGGTAAAACAGATATTGATAATGATATTTATTTGTCCAATGATATTTATTTGTTTGCTTCCGCAGCCGCAAGGCCGGGAGCCACACCATATGTGTGAAAGAGCCACAGTTTGGCCACCCCTGCACTACACCAAGCTGGCTCTGTGCACCACCCTCGCCCTGGTGACATGAAAGGGAATGCATATACACAACCTTCTTCTGGACCTATTTTGGCGAGCTTGAGTTTGAGGTGTGGAAAGGCGATTCTCACCCAATCACTGACGCTGTCAGCTCACCAGCAGCCTATGTTACTAGTATAGGGAGTGACAAGATTTATATAGATCTCTTGCCTCAGTAACTAACATTTTGGAACAGGTGACCTTTGCCGATGCAACACCGAGAGCAAAGTTCACTGAGATTAACAGACAAGGAACCGCCATTTGTATTGCACAAGGGTGCTACAGTGAATGTGTCGCTTTTGCTGTTTACCCACATCTGAACATTGACTGCCCCAGAGAAACTGAATAAATGCCTCAACATAAATATAACTGCACTTGTCCAGAATGCATTGGTGAATGCTGACAAATGGCTCTGTGCTGAATTTGCACAAAGTTGTATTCTCACTGTGGAATTTGCCATTGGGGAGCAGGGCAGGAAATGCCCACACAACATCAGCTGTCCACTCTTCTCCCATTCGTTGGTGCCTAGCAACAGCCATTGCTCCACATCAGCTGCTTCATCTTGGTGCCATTTTTAATCCATCTCTGGCCTCGGCCACACGGGCAGGAAAATGGGGGGGGGAGGCGTAGCTGTTTGCCCCGGAGCAAACTAACGTGTGACTGCGCAATCAGGCTTCAGGCTGAGGTCCCGTGGAGCTCCCGTGGTTATGGGGGAGGTGCCGATCACACATGGGGCAAAGAAGCGGAGCGGCGCAGCAAACGGGGTTGTGTTTTGTTTTTAAAACGTAAATGTGCACATGCTCCGTTGGGTGCTTGTGCGCATCCGTGGAGACTTGGAGAAAAAAAACCCTTTTTGCGAGGGGACATGGGCAGGCGCCGGAACTACTACCGGAAACGCGATCAGACGCCCGCCCTTGCCCTGCGGTTTCCGGAAACTAGTACCTCCGAGGTACTAGTTTTTTACCCCGCATCTTTGGTGGGAAGCCTCAGGTGCGCCACGGGAGCTCTACGCTTCCCAGATGTGGCGGTGAGATCGCGCCCAGAAAAACTGCCTATCTTCCGTCTCTCTAGCGTGCCTAATGCTCCGTGTGACCGGGGCCTCTATTATGTATTTCCAGTGCAGAGCTGAGATGTAGGGTGTGATCACATGAGCAGTTCAGCCCGACACAGCCACCCCGCCCCACTGGACCAAATGTGTGTGATCAAATGCGCACATCTGACTCCCGTGCCCCGGTCAGCCCTACCTCGTGATACAATGACTCCCACATGGATTAAATAGCCACCGGCAAATCCTGGCAGCTACCTCGGCAAGGCGCTTCCATGGCGGGTTTCCAGGCATCTGATTGCCTGGGCGTGCCATGGAAACACATGAGCAGTATGATTGTTCCATTCTGTTTCTGGTGCGTCCTTTTTTGTTTGTTTGTTCAACCCCACTCGAACATGTGCTTCAGCACCCCCATAGAACGCAGTCAGGAGCACATGCGTGCTTGTCTGCTTCTGCACACACAGAGGGGGACTTAGAAAATAAAACAACCAGCCCAGCCATGAGTCCATGGTTGTGGCATGTTAGCGATGTGAACGACCAACCACAGACCCACGGCCCTATAATGCAGGCTTAGGGGGTGCTGCATGATCAACGCAAAGTGTCCCAAACTCAAGCGGCTTATTTAGAGCCCATATATTGCCACAGCAAACGGCTCGTGTGACCACACCCGTAGTCTTGTAATGGCGTCACAGAGGGCGAGCAAAGCCCTCCCATTGATCCCAGCGGGGTGAGAGTAACATATCCCCATTGCCAGAGCAGCTAGGCTGATGCATTGATCTTGTAGCTTCATTGTCCATCAGCACCGAACAGCAAGACTTTTCCATAGATCCAGCTCCAGTCACATCTAGTAATGAATGTGTAGTTGGGGCAGTTTGTGCATTCAGAGGTGCAGTCCATTCAAAGGGATGCAGCGCAGATATCAAATGTGCATCTCCCACCCACATTATTCCTGTACTAGTCAACTATGTGCGATTTGGTTTGGGGTGAGGGAGCATCAGCTCAGTTGCCTCGGCAACAGGAACACAATGGCCATATGGGGAGAGATGACAGGTCACATGAAGTTGCCTTCTACTGAGTCAGTCTTTTGGTCTATCAAGGTCAGTATTGTCCACTCAGACTGGCAGCAGCTTTCCAGGGTCTCAGGTGGAGGTCTTTCTGATCACCTACTGCCTGGGTTCTTTTTAGCTGGGGATGCTGGGAATTGAACCTGGGACCTTCTGCACACCAAGCAGATTCTCTGCCACTGAGCCACTGAGCCTCCCCATGCACAGCCCCTTCACAGGGTCACTGTGGCCCCTGACTGGATCCACTCTGATTGGCTTCTTCCTGAACTGTGTTAGCATCTAAATCTGCTCCTTCCCACGTGACGCATTTTGCATGAGCTGTGGATTCCAGGCATGGAGCTGAGAGCCTTGTGTGTTTTAAGAGCTGTCCTCCTCCCACCTTAATTAAATCAAAACAGCTGTTGACCTTATGACCGTAGCTTGTTATTTAGTTATGTCTTTGTATATCTTAAAACATCTTCATCATGTTACATGTTGATTTGCTGTTCAGCTTCTGTCTATACGTCTGAACTCTACCTTCCATTCCGATGTATCTGGAAAAAGTGTGCTTTGCACATGAAAGCTCATACCTTGAATAAACCTTTGTTGGACTTAAAAGTGCCAATGGACTCTAAGTTTTTTCCAAATAACTAGCGAGGGACAATTTCACAGGAGGCTGTAGATCTGTGTTCCCTCTAAGCTGAGTTAGTGCGAGTTAGCTCATAGTTTTTTCGCCTCCGGCTCACAGATTTTTGTCTCAGCTCAGGGAGGCTGGCTCCAGAGCAAACTGATTTATGCAGTAGCCAAATTGTTCACTCACAACTTAAGGCCAGTAGCTCACAAAGCAGAATTTTTGCTCACAAGACTCCACAGCTTAGAGGGAACATTGCTGTAGAGCATTTTTAAACTTGGCCATTGTGCCAAGGGAAGGTTTATGAGAACAGTTTTCACTGGGAACACTGTCTCCGCTGTTCCCAGTTTGTTTTCATTCACTTGGTGTTCTCTGACTACTGTGACCACGGTAGTTTAAGACAGAGCTGGTCTTTAATCAGATTAAAAAGCTGTTGCTTAACTCAGTGTGTAAGTCAGGTTTTCTTACAAATAAGGGGTCATTTCATAGAAAAAGAGGTGCAGGCACTCATTAGCATAACTCATTTACATATGTCACACCCCCTGACATCACCGGAAGTGTGTCAGTAGACAACACCCACCGCTCAGGCTCCACTGGACTGCTTTGGATTGCTAGCTTTTTTGGGGGGGTGGACATGCAGATCTGTCCTCGCAGAGGAGGGAGAACTTGTACCTAAATAAAACTTGGTCTTAAAAGTGCCACTGGACTGTTTGGGGGGCTCTGCAGCTTACCTGGCTACTTCTTGCTCTAACTGAGGGCTGCTGGGAGCAGGGGGTGGGGCTTGTTGCATGTGCCTGCCCCCTGGGCTCTTTACTGCCGGAGCTCCTCTCCTGTGCACTCCTGCAAGAAATGACCCCTGATTGTTATAGGAATAAATGTTGTGTGCGTGTTTTGTTTTTCCTGTTGCTAACAATTTCTTTTCTTTCCCCCCCTTCTTTGGTGGTTTCACTGCTGTCTCGATGGATTCAGCTTCAGAAAAGGGAACGGTCCTGCAGAGCCTATGTCCAGGTACCTCCAAACTACTCGTGCATGTACAATTGTTTGCTTGCCTTGTTGGGGTCATGACTCTTGTGAAGATTACCGTGCCATCAGAATACACGGTGCCTGAGGGAGTTTCATGGGCAGGCTTTGATATGAGATGGTTGCATAGAGCTATGACACACTCCGTGAGCACTCCATAGCTCTATGCAACAATCTCATATCAAAGTACAAAAGAAAAAGAAGGGGTTGGATTTATACACCGCCCTTCGCTTGGAGTCTCAGAGCGGCTTGCAGTCTCCTTTCCCTTCCCCTCCCCACCACAGATACTCTGTGGGGTTGGTGGGGCTGAGAGAGCTCTTGAGAGAACTGCTCTTGAGAGAAGAGCCCTGAGAGAACTTGTGACTGACCCATGTCACACCAGCAGCTGCATGTGGAGGAGTGGGGAATCAAACCCGGTTCTCCTAGATTAGAGTCCACACTCTTAACCACTACACCAAACTGGACATCCAAGACGATGAGGGGGGAAACTGAAGAACCTGAGCCTTTTCAGTCTAGAAAATGCCCAAATATCCAAATAAATAAATAGAAAAAAGTCACCTAATGGAAAGTGATAAGGGGTTTATAAAACTATGCATCAGGGTGGAGAAAGTGGATAGAGAGAGCTTTCTCTCCCTATCCCATAATACTATAATTTGGGGGCATCCAGTGAAGCTGAAGGGCGGTGGAACTCTGGGCAACCGATGGAGTTGGTGGGAAGAAAGAACAAATACTTCTGTACTCAATGAGTAATGAAATTATGGGATTCACTTCCACCGGCTGTAGTGATGGCCGTGAGCACTGATGGCGTTAAAAGCACTTTAGACAGATTTGTGGAGGGGAGGGTCCGCCGGGGCTACTAGGCATGAAAATTAAAGGGAACCTCCGTATTCAGAAGCAGACAGTCTCCAAATCCAGTGTTAGGAGACAACATCTAGCTAAGGCCTTGGCCTCTGTGCCCCATTCATTGGCGCACCAGGGCAACAGATTGGCCACTGTGGTCCTCTCCACATTTGCCTGCCTCTCTGGATTTTCTCAGTATTTGAGTTGAGGCAATTTAAGTCCAGGGCAAAACAGCATCCAACTAGGGTTGCCAAGTTGAATCTTCTTACCGGTGGGGGAGCGTCGCCGGGCTCCGGGAGCTCTCCTCCGATGCGCGCGCCGCCAGCATGTCCCAGAAGTGACGCGTGACATCGATCACGTTGGGGGAGTGGCCCCAATCGTCGGAGGGAAAACCATAGAGTTTTCCGTCCGACGATCGGGGCCACGCCCCCAATGTGATCGACGTGGTTGCGTCACCTCTGGTGACGCAGCCACGCTGGGCTTTGGGGGGCAGAAATCGGCCCTCCAAAGCGGGGGTTTACCTGCCCCCCGCCCCCACTTGGCAGCCCTACATCCAACTAACCCAGGGCGACAGCAGGCTGAAACTGGGCTGACCACTGAAGGGAGGGAATGTGATGCAGAAGGGGGGGGAATCCAGAATAAAAAGGTTGAACTCGATTTTAGTGCAGAATGGGGGGGGATGTGGATTAAAAAGAAGGTTGGATTCAATTTTAGTGCAGAATTGCTTGGAGGACACCACGGTGAACATTGATTAAAAGGAGAGGGCAGAAAGGGCCCATGTGAAACAGGATGTTGGACTAGATGGAGAACTGGTCTGATCCAGCTGGGCTCTTCTTATGTTCTGGCATAACCACGTAAAATGCCTGAGTTCATATTATCTCTTCTGCAGTTCCTTTTCTTGACACTGCATCTGACAGTAAACCTGAAGCCTGAGCTTTAAAGTGGACAATTTATTGTCCATTTAGTGTAACTGGGAAGTTTTAGTGAAGATTTTTCAGCAAAACCATCTCAGTAGATTACCTTGTTCTGACACCAAATAATGTCAGTCCTTCATCATCTGAAATCTCTGAAACCACTTAATCAATCTACCTCATGCTGGAAATGGTCAGACCTGTAGCCAGAAATTTGTGATCAAGGGCCTAAAGGATTACCGGACAGGAAAATCATGTCAGTTTGAAACAGCAAAAACCTCAGTATAAGTCTTCAGGTTGTTTAATGTATTAATCTGAAATGAATTGGATTTTAAATCGGGGGGGTGTCGTGTGGGGGTCTTGTTTCCAGCCATAACTACACTACATTGTTGTGTTGTGCTGGGGGCTGTTCTGTGTTATTTTATTGTAATTGTTTGTTGTGTCGCTGTTCTGGTAGGCCTTTTGAAGTGCAGAAAGAAGCAGGGTTAAAAAAAAAGTTCTTAAATACGTCAGTGGTAGTTGATAAAGCAGGCTTTAACTCTTCGCCATCTCATTCTCTTATAAAGTAGCTAGTTAATTCGCGGAGAAAAGTGAGCTATAAATAGAATAAAAATAAAAAGATCAAGGAGATATCATTTATTTCAAAGTGGCTTTTGAACAAGAAGAAACTACGGTATGATAGGTGTGTCTAATGGGCTGGAAGCCCTAATGCCAGGGGTCTTCAGCGTGGTGACCGTGGGTACCCTGTTTCCTGCCAGCACCGTTTCAGGCACCAGCCAAGTGTTTTTATGAAATGTGCAGGGCCAGGTAAGACTCGTATCCACTAAGTCTTCTGATTGACTATTGGGGATTTGATTGGCTGTGTGGATTTTTTAAAAAAACAATAACGTTGCTTTGGCAGCAGCTGCTATCACAACATAAGGATCTGCACTGCGTTACTGAAGTTAACCTGTGGCAATCATTTTGTGACTGGCACCGCCGCCTGCACCAGCCATTTTGTCTGAATTCCATGTCATGTCAGAATTCCAAGAGATCAGGGCCCTGCGGGACATTTTACAGTTCCGCAGGGCCTGCAAGACAGAGCTCTTCCATCAGGCTTTTGACTAAGGAGCCACAGTGAACACCAAGGACTGTCTCTGTGTCCTGGCCTTACCATCTTTCATCTTCTGCCTGTGCCCACCACATAATAAGTTGAACAAACTGAGTTGGCGTGAATACCGTCGGAACATATGGCCACCTTAAACTGTATTATAAATAACATTTGCTCTCATTTTTATCAGACCACGTACCAGTGTTTTTAGGAGTATTTTAATCAAATGTTTTTTTACATGTGTATGTTTATGGTCTTAATTGTAATTTATATGGAATTTTATGTAAGCCACCCTGAGCCCGCCTCAACGGGGAAGGTGGCGTATAAACCAAATTAAGTAAGTAAATAAATAAATGTGCCCGCAGGCTCAAAAAAGTTGGGGACCACTGCGTTGTGTGTTGGGCAGTGATCAATTGATTGACGTCAGAGGTATCACCAGATAATGATCGATATTTCTAAGCCCTGAAATACTGGGGCGCATGTATACTTATAAACAAGTGCACATGTTTTGG